CTTTTGGAGGAATTACACCAAATACATAAGCCTCAAGTAACCAACAACCATCAAAATATGATAAAATCCTCTAAATCCTTGTATACCCTCATGTGGAAATTTTTCCAAACTTCAATATCTCATAACTCTTGATCCGACCGTCCAAACTTACTCCAAATTTATATGAAGTACTGATGTATTCTTATCAACTTCCACAACAAATTTCAATTACAAATTCATTGTGGATCTTGAGATATCTTGAAAACTCTAACAATAGCTTCAAATTCTAGTTTTTATATACTTATGTAAAATTTCTTTCATATCTCACAAACTAAATACTAAAATTCTACAAAATTTATATTTTTAGTTTTTTAACACAATTATCTACCTTCTCAAAAAGGTTTGAGCCAAAAATTCTTCCAAAAACTCAAGATATGGTTCCAATCATTACTATGAACAAAACCACTTATTTATTGCCTTTGATTTGGAAGTATCGCCTTCAACTTCTTATATCTCCTTTATATGAATTTCAAAAGTAACAATTCATGTATAAAAGATGTAGGCTTTGAAATGGCCATTCCAATTGCATCTTCCAATCTTCAAAAACTACCGTAAAACTCCTTGTATTTACAAAAGAATAATAGTATATCTTAAATTAATACCTTAACTTCAAACATCTACAATTTCTTCATCCTAACTCCAAATCCTCTAATTTTTGCACAAAAATTATAGTTCAAATCCTAAACCTAACAATAATGGCTTCTAATTTCCAAATACCTTCTTTGAAGTCACAGAAATCCTTCTTAAGGTCGTCAGTAGCCTCTTCAAAGCCCATTGGGCATGGTATTTGTCCAATAAGGATGAAGTTTTCCATTCCTTGCCTTCATCTCACAATGCCTTGCTTTCATCTCTCCGAATTAGCCTCCCACTAGTTTGGATTTTCTTTCTTAGGCTTTGACCTTCTTCTAAGGCTTTATACTAAATATTTAGGTCCTATAAATATATATATATATATATATATATATATATATAATGCCAAAATAAAAATAAGTAAAAAAAAATAAAGTAAGGTTTTTCATACCAACTTCTTTATAATTTAATCTACTAATCACTCTAACACACATCTAGATTTGTCAACATATCATATGTTTTAACTATATTTTACATATTGTAAGCATTTATAGTATGACACTACAAGAAAATGCCACAAGTTGTTATTGATTACCACTAGCCACCAACTCATCCTTGTTGTTTTTATAGTAGTTTTTATCAAATTATTGTATTGAATCTTTTGCACAAAGTGTAAATGCTTTGCACCAAAATCCTCTTATATTACAAAACTCATGCAATCAAAATTCTATGTCACAATATGCCTCTATTGCAGTCCAAATATTGATATTGTACCACATCATTGCCTATTGCAAGCTCTATCTTAGCACCTTAAATCCAATTACTATAACTTTGTATCTTGAATAGATCAATTACAATTGCCTAGTATCGAAACTTTGATTTCATGATGTTGTACTTCATAATATTGCAACCTCGTGCTCTAGCACCTGTGCTCTACTACCACCTCATGATTGCCTCATGCTGCAACCTTGAACTCTGACCTTGTGCTCCACTATTGCCTCACAATTTTGCCTCAATGCCCTGTACTGAATACTGCTTCTGGATCTAGTACTCCTATACTTTGTATTGTATAATATCCATAATGATCAATATAGCCATATACAGTAGTGCGGCATTACAACCCAGTTAGATTTTACTACCTAGTACAAAAGTGCCCATAATCCAATAGCAATTTTTTTTTTTTTGATCTACTTAATTCTAATTTACTATATTACAAATTGAAGAGATTCTTATCAAGTAAAAGATTAGAAATCTATACCAAAGTAAATCAAACTATCTCTTACATCATAAAGGAAGAATTCAAGGGTGTAAGTATGAAAATAAGGAAAACTCTAAACCTTTACTAAAATGGCTAAAACACCATAGTCCAAGCAAATCCTTACAACAAGTTTTTTCACTCTCCAAATCACTCATAAGACATGACTTGACAAGAATGTCAAGTCAAGGGTTTTTCTCTACTTAAGTACTCAAATCTTAATTGACATGAATAAATCAATTAACAAAAAAATTATTAATAGATAAAAAACTACTATCAAATTACATACATCTAATGAAATTTGGCACTCAATGCCATATCACGTGACATGACATACTTGCATGTACAAAGTAAACTAATAATTTATTATTATATTTAGTTTTATCTTAGAAGAACTATTGTTTGCTATATAAAATTTAAAATTGGTATTTTTTTATGTATTTTGATATTATTACTATTGACACTTTTTGTATAAGATGGCTTGAAGTATCTCTTAATTTTTCTACATTAGATGTCTTTTTGTACTTTTGTTTCATTTCAATTAATTCATTCTATTCCAAATAATTACAAAAAATATACTATACTTTAATAATAATACTTTAAAAATCCACCATAACAATGTTAAGAGCAAATGGCTACAGGTTCTTGTAAATAAAGAATATATATTTTTTCTTAGATAACTTAATGCCAGCTTGAACAATAGATTTATAAATATTAGTAATATTAATCATTTTCATATTTCTTTAAAAGAGTGAATAAAAAACTTAATTTATTAAATAAGTAAAAAACTATTTCAAAAAAAGTACGAATGTGTTGTATACTTTTATAATTTTTTTATTTTTTACAATAGAAATTTTACTTTATTAAAAAAATTGCTAGGTGGACACTTCATTTTATTACATAGAGCCTTTTCTTCTTCCTTCTCTCTTCCTATGCAATTTCATTAACTTATTAAGAATGTTTATTTTTGAAAAAAATGTTATACATCTTTTTACTTGTACAAGTTGACTGCATAATTTTAAAGTTTATTTCTTGTAATATAGAACATACGTCCAAATTTTAGCATATAAAATGCATCATTTAAATACAAAACAAGATATCAATTTTTTTCTTATTTTTTTTATCTGTTTTCATAATCCTTTTAAATAGTAACAGCATCATCATCAAAATATATCATCATTAAAAAAAAATTCAAATAGAAAGGATATTATTGTATGTATGCAAGGGTGTGGCATAGTAGAGTGTCTGTACACTAAAAGAGAGGTGTTCAAGCTTGAACACCTATTACCTAGTAGTTACTTTTATTAAAAGTTGTAAATATATACACATTAACAAAGGAAAACACTTTCAGAAGAATATGACTTCATTGCAATTTTTGCAAAAAAAATCTTTTGAACATTATATATACAAATTATAATCAACTAAGTATCAATGTGTGAAACATGATGTGAATATGATGTGAAGTATCATAGTAAACAACTATTGTAATATAAAAGTAAATCAATGAAGATAGACGTTTTATTTTAAACTGTGAGTATAAGTTGAGGATAAACAAAAGAGAAGACAATTAAAAACATTAATCAAATAAAATATTATTGATAAATGATAATAAAATAACAAAAATTAAAGTATAAATTAACAAAGTATGCAAGAACAAAAGACAACATGAAGTAATCAAAAAAATATCTTGAAGCATAATTTACAATTTAGCAAGGACAATTTTAAAACAAGTAAAAAGAACTAAAGGTGGATTGCATTGAAGAAATTAAGATCTGATGATTACAGTGATTAATTATGTGAAGATATTTTTTTGTAAAAAAAATCTAAAATTTGTCTATTTATTTATTTAAACTAAATGATAGAGGAGAATAATCAATGTAAGTAGAAAGTCAATAAAGGCTCAAAAAACTTAAACAAAGTTAAACAATGATTTAGTAATTCAAGAAAAAAAGTACAAAAATAAAAACTAAAATAAAAATGATATTAAAACTTAGATAAATTTATGAATTTAAAATTACATAATTACACAGCAATAATTTCTTGATGACAAATTGAAAGACAACTATATTACCAAAATGAATTTGATTATGGAACATAATGAACTTATGTAAAAATTTTGCACAATCAATAAAAGGTGAGAGCATGCAAAAGAAGTTGTAGAAACAAATATACCATAATACAAATTGGGATATATTAGTGCAGAATGAATATATATTCAAATCAAAGAGTTCAAACAGTAAATTAGAAAGTCTAGTAATTTATTCACTTGTTTTTCAAGTCTTCTTGACCTGAGAATGATTTTTCATGATTAGTTTCTTTGCAAGCTAAGGCTTTTTAAAATTATTGTGGTCAAGAATTCTAAATTAATGCATTTATACTAGATATGCTGTTTCAAGAATTAAATCAGAGGACCACCACTGCTCTGGAAGGTGAAACTCATACCCTCTGCAATATGCAACCCAGGGGCATCCGACATCAGAGAAGCCAAGTTTGGAACACGCAACAGCTCTGACCATAATGCTACACACACTCCTCATGCTCTGATTATGCAACACTCCATCATCACCACAGAGGCATCTCCCATCAACGTCATCTAAACTTCCCACACCAACCAAATTCCCATGTAATCCAAGACTATCTTGAAACCACACCGACACACTCATGCACTGTCGACCAAAGGTGTGTTCATTTCCCAACAATGCTCTGCCTTCCTTACCCTCTCACCTTCCAACCGCGCTCCCACGACAAGCCAACTACTTCTGCACTTTGCCACGAACTACCGCACCGTCACCCATGCCCGTGTCACCACGATTCAAGTGAGTAAGCTGACCACAACTACTCGTCATCGCCCCCAACAAATCAGACTCTCACGTCCAACCAGTAGGCACTCCAATCAATACACAAATTCATGGAACTCAGCGCGGCAATCGTCACCCCAAACATCTGATACCCCTCCTAACTGACCGAACTTCCGCCGAGCCGCTGCACAATAAAAGCAGAGCCTGAGACGACCTACACAAAAAAGCCCACGATCTTTCGCACAACCACACATCCGCCCCAATAAACTAACAAATCAACCCGAACCAACGCCATCATACAACCTTACTTCCAGCACCGCACTCACATGCCCACATCCTCCATTCAACATCCGATTCACGATATCTTTCCATTCACAACCGGCATACTGCACAATATGGCACCTGCTTCACGCAACGGCCTAATTTGTATGAGCAAACCCCTCTGCTACCCTTCCCACCCAACCAGGGCACCAGTTTCATTTGGAGCTGCACCGAGACACAAACCCCGACACACGTCTACCAAAGTCTCCAACGGCAATATGGATAACAGAAACGCTTGCCAATCGACCAACACAATCCACCGTGCTACTACCTACTCTAGACTCACCCACCTACTTGTTAGTCCATCTCTCGTCAAACCCTCCCCAACCTGTATCTACCCAACCTCGACTCGAGCTTATTATCTACAAACCTCTTCGTCGCCCACCTCGATACCGCCAATGCGGAACCTTGCTTCATATTCACGACTCCGCGCCAGAGCGCGCATCTAGGCTTCTTCGGCCGTGATCCGCCAACCTTATAATTTAACCAACTTCCTCCGTGCACCACGGAAAACAATCATCGCCCCGCCCAAGCGTCGCAATCCAAAGAACCTTGACGTTGCGTTCCAAAGCGTCGCACTCCTAACATCCATTTCCTCGATTCCTCCATCACACACCCCCACTCAACAGTTTATCCCGCACTGCGACAGGTCGGGACCCTTCACCTTCGCCAGAAACGGGTCGATGCGCACCCACAGAAGCGAGAAGATGGACGCCAGCAGGATCGACCACACGATCACGATCGTCGGTGTCCGGTTCTGTCGTCCCATCAGACCCTTCAGGAACGGATACAAGTGAACGATCACCCAGAACGCGAAAAACAGCTTCCCGAACAGCGGGCCCCACGACTGGTATCCGTTGTTGATCGCATCCGAAATCCCCGCCACCACGCCGATCATGTTGATCACGATCAGCGTCGTCGGCGGAATCAGCAGCGCCGTCCACTTTATCATGTACAGCTCCGCGAAATCCTCGTCCTCTGCCTGTTTCGACGTCACCGTGAAGTTGGTGTCGATACCCGCGAACACCTTCAGCAGACCCTGGAACAGCGCGAACAAGTGCGCCGACACGCCTCCGATCACCCAAAACTGCTCGTTCCTCCACCACTCGTCGATGCCCACTCCCGACCACCGCATTTCCAGTATGCCCGTCGCAAAAATGGAGATAAACAATGAAATAAACCACAGACTCGCCAGGTTACTGATCTGCATATCCCACCACAAAACCACCCACTCAGAACCACCGTACCCTCCACCTTCGCCAAACCACCCACCCTCCCCGCAGCCACAACAAACCCCAAACCTCTCCGCGCGGCCGCGTACCGTGGGTATGATGAACTTCCCCGTCAGCAAACACACCGCGGGCAGCACGCAGTACGCCAGCAGCGGCAACGATGTCAGCGGGTAGATCGTCGTGTTGATGTAAGCCAGCCTCTCCAGACACTTCAGCCCGCCGTTCTTCCCTCCACCGTACCCGTACCACAGAGGGCAGTGCCGACTCAGCGAAATCTCCACCGACCCCAGCGCCCATCGCAGCACTTGGTTCAGCCGATCCGACAAGTTGATGGGCGCCGACCCCTTGAACGCAGGTCGCGTCGGCATGCAATAGATGGACCTCCATCCTCTGCAGTGCATTTTGAACCCCGTCAGAATGTCCTCCGTCACGGACCCGTAGATCCATCCGATCTGCACTCACCCACACCCACCCAAACCTCTTAGCGCTGCACGCACTCCGTCCACCCACGTACTCTCATTTCCGCGCACTCCACACATTCATCACCTCAACCACCACCCAACCCCCTCACCCTCACCCTCACCTCCTTCCCCCAGTCCGTCTTGTCTTCGTACCCACAACTGATCACGTGGATGGCTTCCTTCAACAGCGACCCCGGATTCGCAGAGTGCGGCACGCCTCCGTTCTCCAGCAGCGTCGACGCCACGAACACCGGAGACTGACCGAACCTCTTCTCGAAGTTCTTCAAAGACATCAGCGACGACTTCTCCTCGTCAATGCCTGCGCCCGCACACCCAACCCACCCCGTCAACCATCCAACTTACACACCACGTCCCACGCCCAAACCACACTCTCCAAACAAACCACACTCTCCAAACAAACCATGCTCTCCAAACAAACCACACTCTCCAAACAAACCATGCTCTCCAAACAAACCATGCACATGGCATATCATCATCAACACGCCCCCCGACTCCAACCACAACCTCTGCATGCGCCAAACAGCATCACAACGCCCTCACCCACAACCATCCCACTGACACCCACTCCCCCTACCTTCGATGCCTTCTTCGATGTCCTCCAGGCTGAAAATGGGAATGCTGGAGTCGCTCCTCGACGGAGGCTTCTTCTTCCCGCCTTTCGCAACCTTCGCCTTCCCAACTCCCTTCTTCCGGGGCCCGCACAGCCATGATGGACACACGCCTTGGCTCCGCCCACCCGACGCCTTCGCATCCTTCGGAGGAGGGTCGTAACCATAAATCGCTTGCCTCTTGAAACAACATCCAGTACCCACGTACACCGGGCCCTGCACGCCGTCCAATCCCTTCAAGTTGATCTGCAATCATGCAATACCACCAAACGCGCGTCACTTCCTCACGTGCTCCAAACCCCTCCCCATGTAACCACATCAACCATCATCGGTGCCCGCGCAACCACAACACCCACCACCACACTCTCACAACCCTTCCCCTGCACCCCACCCCAACCTCCCACCGCCTCCGCCGCGTTCCCAACCCACATTCCGCAACCACGGGACATATTTATAACATGCAGCACACTCCCGCCCTCACGATGGCCCACGACGGAATTCACGCTCCCATCCACACTTACGTCGAAGAAAACGGTGTTGTGATTGGCATATCGATCGTTCCTGTCGATGCCATCGAACCGCTGAGGAAACTGGACGTAGCACACCCTCTTCCCCACGATGGGATCCATCAGAAAGCACATCGCTTCCCGGAGCGCCTTGCTGTTGTTGATGTAATGATCACAATCCAGATTCAGGAAGAAAGGCGCGTTTGTTAGCACCGCAGACACCCGCACCAACGCATTCATGGCACCGGCCTTCTTGTGATGGTTGAACCCGGGTCGTTTCTCTCGAGACACGTACACCAGCCGTGGCAGCTCGTTCCCGTCCGTGTCGTGACCCCCGCTGTGTCCCAAAAACACCTGCCATCCCCACGCGCGCATTCATCATCTTTCACAAGCACAACCATTACCGCCCACGCCGTCCAAGCAACATAAA